GTCCAAAGACATGCGGTACAGGTGAATTGGGTAGGCTAAATTGTCCGTAGTGTATGAATGTGTGTGTGAATGTATGTGTGGATGATTCCCAGAGATGAGTTGCAGCTGGAAGGGCATCCGCTGCGTAAGAAATTGCTGGATAAGTTGGCGGTTCATTTCACTGTGGTGACCCTGGATAAATAAAGGGACTAAGCCGACAAGAAAATCATAGAATGAATGAATTTTTGCCAATTGGTGAAGTTTCGTCCTCGCCGTTGTCGCCACTGGCTTGCTTGGTTCGGGATCTTTAGAGCTGTGCATCAATGGCTTTTCAGTGTTTGGACTCTTAGTAGTGATTATTAAACCACACTGAACTGAGCTGAACTGGACTGAACTTAGGGTGCTTTCACACCTACACTTTTGTTTCGGAACGTGTCTCGTTTGCCCAGTTAGCGCGGTTCGTTTGGCATATGTGAACAGGGCAATCGCGCTCTGTTCCGCGCCAAAGTAATCGCTTCGAGATCGCTTGAGTGAGGTGGTCTCAGCTCAATTGAATTGAACCCTGGAACGATTCGATTGCAGTGAGAAAGCGATCCGATCCGAGCGCGGTTATATCACAGTGTTTTATGGATATGTAATAGGCTTACGGCTATATGAAGAGAGAGTTATGAGTAGGGCGGGAAGTTTCACGAGTCTCCGGATGCCCGCAAACGAGTGATGATCTCCCGGTAATCTCGCGTCTCCCTCCCGGTCCTCAAATAGGCATTGTCGCGCACCCTTCTCACCCCTCCCCACCGCATCTCTCCTCAGACACGTCGCACGCACCCTGTCAAACACCACCAAGCCACCACCTCTCCTGACAGCTGAGCGGGACGCTGCAAAATAAACCCTGACACTCTGACCAATGTGAGGAGAGTTTACTCACACATGTGACTTGTTTTAGCTCTTCTGGTCCGATTAGAAACTTTGCAGTGTGAAAGCGAACCGCTCCAAGAGCAAAGAGCAACAATGTAACAATTATAATCTCTGTTTCAGAACAACTGAATCCATTCACAGGTGTGAAAGCAGCCTTAAACACTGAAAACTGAACTACACTGTTTCAATTCACTATGATCTTCGATGTGAAGCTGCTTTGACACAATCCACATTGCAAAAGCGCTGTGCAAATAAAGGTGAATTGAAAATGAAAAGCAAGATGACATCTACACCACTGACAGCTCATTTAGACTCATTTTTAACCCTTCTAGTTGTTTCTAAAATCTTCCATGAGAATATTCCCCCTAAAGCCCTGCCTCTGGAAAGTACACAACGAAAAGCCAAAAATAAACAAGTATTAACAGTGCCAGATCTGAGACGTGGCTGAAGACACACACACAGTTTGTACATCCTTGTCCATGACACATTAAGAGGTTGTTTTATTTTACTACATCAAATATTGTATTAGGGCAGCATGGTGGCGCAGTGGGTAGCACAATCGCCTCACCGCAAGAAGGTTGCTGGTTCAACTGGGTCAGTTGGTGTTTCTGTGTGGAGTTTGCATGTTCTCCCCGTGTTGGCGTGGGTTTCCTCCGTGTGCTCCGGTTTCCCTCACAGTCCAAACACATGCGCTATAGGGGAATTGATTAACTAAATTAAACATAGTGTATGAGTGTGTGTGAATGGATGTTTCCCAGTACTGGGTTGCAGCTGGAAGGGCATCCTCTGCGTAAAATATGCTGGATAAGTTGGCGGTTCACTCTGATGTTGTGACCCCAGATTAATAAAGAGATTAAGCCATATCGATATCGATATAACCAGAAAACAGTACAAAAGAAGTCAAAATATGGGTGAAATAATGCTCATACGTGCTCAGTATTACAGATAAAACGTATTCTGAGCTGCAGTGATTGAAATATTTTAATGAGTTATCATTATTAGGTGTGAATCAGTGATAAAATAGGTAAAACATCACTGTTTCGTGAATATTGGGAACAGATCGAAATACTGACTCTTAAATTTATTTTTTAGTATTTGTTTTGGACAATCACCTTTATTTCTTATTTTTTCTACTACACTGCACTTATGAAGCATTCAGAAGAGGCCTGAAATGTGTCAGAAAATGAAGTTCTTAATAAAAAATTATTTACAATTTGACTTTTTTCATTTGAATGTGTAAAGATATCACAGTGATCATAAAACTAGTGAACTGGATGTCTTCAACAGTGCTCAAAGATCTCTATAATCATGATACATGTTGGCGCAGTGGGTAGCACAATCGCCTCCCAGTGATGGTGTGGGTTTCCTCCGGGTGCTCCGGTTTCCCCCACAGTCCAAACACATGTGCTATAGGGGAACTGGGTAAGCTAAATTGTTAATAGTGTATGTGTGTGAATGAGTGTGTATGGGTGTTTCCCAGAGATGGGTTGCGGCTGGAAGGGCATCCACTGCGTAAAACAGATACTGGATAAGTTGGCGGTTCATTCCACTGTGGCGACCCCCGATTAATAAAGGGACTAAGCTGACAAGAAAATGAATGAATGAA